AATCACTTGTATCTCAGCAATGGGTATTTGCCTTCCTCTTGGGGCTGAATCCTTCATATGAGTCCATCAGGGTGCAGATCTTGGGAAGTAAAGACTTGCCATCAGTTCAGGAGGTTTATGCCTTGGTTCAGTCAGAAGAAAGTAGAAGAAATGTGATGAATTTTACAGAGGGGGAGCCAGTTGCTCTAGCTGTCCAGGGAAGGTCAAATACTAATGTCGGAGGTGGTTCTAAGAATGGTGACTCTCAAAAGAGAACAGATGATAAGAGTAAGCTTTGGTGCACTCACTACCAGAAGGCAAGACACACCAGAGATACCTGCTGCGATCTCCATGGAAAACCTAAATGGGCACAGGATTTAGGTAAGAAGTCAACAACTGATCAGGGCAAGAAACCAAATCAGCAGAATCAGAAAAGGTATAACTCAACTAACATGGCATCTCAAGAGACTGGTCCCATGGTAACTCAGGAAAGGCATCCCAGTTCTGACCTTAAGGAAGAGATCATCAACTCCTTCCATGGCCATTTGGAGTTATATGGTAGGACTCTTCATCAGATGGATATTGGTCCTACTCAATACCTCTTTTGCATCTGCTTCAGGTAACACTGCCACTGCCTTCCATGTGTCATCTCATACCTCTGATTCCCCTTGGGTAATCGACTCCAGAGCCTCAAACCACATGACTAGTAAGTCAAATTTATTTTAGGCATACAATCTTCTCTCTATGAGAGATAAGGTGAGACTAGTTGATGGTTCTTTCTCCATCGGCAAAGGAACCATATCTCTCCTACTCAGCCTTACCCTTTCTAATGTACTACATGTTCCTAAATTACCTATAAATCTGTTTTCATTAGTAGTATTACTCACTCCTTGAACTGTTTAGTTATTTTCTATCCGTCTTCATGTGTGTTTTAAGATTTGGCCTCGGGGAAGACGATTAGTAGAGGAATACTTTGGAGTTTCATCCGTTTCTTTTGATTGAAAATATTTAAGTTTGGTTGAAGATCACGATGTTCCTGTGACTCCAACTGAGGTTTGCTTTATTGTTTGTAAGTTCTAAAGAATTTGTCACTCAGGAGAGGGTGAGGAACTAAGATGGGAGGGAAAATGGAGGGAATGGAGTTCGTGCAGGCAGGTCAGTGGAGGAGATCCTTGAAGATAGAAGCAAAAAATCTCCTGTTCGAAGAGATGAGAATCAAGGGGAAGGTAAGCCTGAAGGTAAG